GCTCACTATTACTGAGTGTCACCTTTTCTAGGTTTTCCAGAAGACAGAGTTAAGAAATAAGTGAATATATGCTGACCCATGTATATACCATATGTTTACATATTTATTTCTCCATCAATGATAGTAGACATATGTATATACATCCATTCAATATATATCTATCAGAGATATGTTATCAAAAATATCAAAGATAAGGCAAACATACAGGTATATTTGTATATGGATGTGTATCTATCTGAAGACAGATGATGAATAGATACAGGGAGATACAGATGCTATACATGAGACAGACAGATGATAGGTAGATAGATGATAGACATAGGTGCTAGATTAGATAGATAGATAGATAGATAGATAGATAGATAGATAGATAGATAGATAGATAGATAGATAGATAGATAGATATAGATAGATAGGTGATAGATAGATAGATGACAGGTGACAGGTATCTCTGAGTCCAATCCAGCACTGCCAGATTCATTCTAGCCTTCTTCTTTTGCTTATTTGTAACTTTTTCCTCTGAGAGTACAAAAATCTTGCTCCCAGTATCCATAATTTATTAACTTATTAGTTTAACCCTAGTACACATGTGAAGTATTTTCAAAATTGCTAACCCTTACCCCTGTGAGAAAATAATTTAATACCTAAATCACAGTGCTGATACACAGATCTTTTTGTCTTTAGACTTAACTATCCAGTTAAAACACTGTTTACCAAAATTGCCTTGATCAATAACTCTGTCTCCATCAGCTTCAATGAGGTTATGTTGTCATACATTTGTAATACAGTTAAGTTTCTTTGTCACAGTCTGCATTCCATCCTGAGATCCCCCAACATTCTGGTTGATTTTTTAAAATTTGCATACAATGAAGTTCATTCTTTGTGGTGCACAGTTCTGAAGGTTTTGGCAAATTCACAGTCATATGTCACTGCCCTAGTACAATAGAGAATAGTTCTATTGACCTAAAATTTCCCATGTGTGGTCACTTGGCAGTCAACACCCTCCCTAACCCCTAGAGACCACCAATCTCTTTTCCATCCCAGAGTTTTACCTTTCTTGTAATGTCATATAAATGGACTCATACAATATGTAGTCTTGGGTTTCTTCTTTCACTTAGCAAAATGCACTTGACATTCACCCATGTGTGGGAATCCATAACTTGTGCCATTCGTTGCTGTGTAGTACTCCACTGAATGGCTATACCAAGTTTGTTTATGCATTCTCTTGTCGAAGGACATCTGGTTGCCTCCAGTTGTTAGTGATGATGAGTAAAGTTGTTATAAACACTGTTCAGCTTGTTTTCATGTGAATATAAGTTTTCAATTCATTGGATAAATACCTAGAAGTGTGGTTGTTGTTTTAATTGTCTATGTTTAACTTTGTAATAAACTGCCAAACTGTTTTCCAAAGTGATTCTACAACTTTGCATGCCACCAGTGATGAATGAGACTTCTAGCTAATCTACATCTTTGTCTTTATTTGTTATTGTCTCTGATTAGTTTTAGTTATTCTAATAGATGCGAAGTGGTATTTTATTTAGGTTTCAATTTACATTTCCCTAATGATAAAAGATGTTGGCCATGTTTTTATAGGCTTATTTACCATTTTATGTCTTCTCTGATGAAATGTCTGTTCAAATAATTTGCCCATTTTTTAATTGGGTTATTTGTGTCACTTACTGTTGAGTTTTAAGAGTCTTTTATAATATTCTGGATATAAGGTCTTCATCAAGTATGTGAAGCCCATTTTTTAATTGGGTTATTTGTGTCACTTACTGTTGAGTTTTAAGAGTCTTTTATAATATTCTGGATATAAGGTCTTCATCAAGTATGTGATTTGTAAATTTTACTCCCAATGTGTGGCTTGTCTTCTCATTCTCTTTAAAGTCTCTTTCAAAGAGAAAAACAGTAACATTTTGATCAAGTCAATTTACCAATTATTTTCTTTTATGGAGGGTGCTTTTGGTGTTTAATTTAAAGAGTCATTCCCAAATCCAAGGTTTTGCAAATTACCTCCTATATATACTTCCAGAAATTTTATATCTTTACATTTAGGTATGATCAATTTTGAGATGATTTGTATATAAGGTATGAGATATATGTCCTTCAACACACCTTGTTTTATTTTAATTGTTTTGTTGGTAGTGTATCCTAGTTCCTTTGCTTTGGCATATAAATTTTAGGAACATCTTACTGAAGTTTTCAAAACAACTCTGTAGGATTTTGATTGTGATTCCATTGAATCTGTAGATCAAATTTTAATAATACTGATTTGAAGAAATCCATAAAATTTATTTAGATCTTCTTGATCTTTTCATCATTTTATAATTGTCATTATATATAGATCCTACTCATATTTAGTTACACTTAAGTATTTCTTTTTTGTGCATACTATTTTAAATGGTATTTTTACAAATTTAAATTTGTAATTTTTTATTGCTGGTACTCTGAGTGATTTTTGTATACTTACTTTGTATCCTACAAACTTGCTAACTGAGTGTTTCTGAAGAAAAAAAGACATGTCTCTATTTTCTCACTTGTCAGTAAAATCTCTAACTCAAAGGAATTTAGAAAAGATAAAGAATAAACCTATAAATTTTCTCATATAAGAGAGAGTTCACAGAAAAAGATCCACAAATGGCTCCAAAAGATACTCAGTCAGTGTGACATAAGGTTATCATGTGTAGATAGCAAGAATTTCTTCTACGTAGATCTGCATATCACACTGAGAATTAATTTTTAACTGTACCATTAAATCTGAGCATGGAAATAAATGGATCTTGAAACACACAAATTATTGATCCACAAAGTGTTACAGCAAAGTTTTTAAAACTAATAAATCCTATTCAGTCATGCTAATCTGTTTCATTAATATTTTATTAATAATAACAACTCAATTATAGCAAGACATCTTGTTCCCTTAATACAATTTTTAACTGTTCATTTCACCTCTATCTCATCCTTTTTCAAATATTAGTTTTATATATGTTTATAATTTAGGTGACATATTAGTACAGAAGAACATTAGTGTGATACATTATTTAATATGTAACTACTGAGGATACATGCTTAACTGTCTTTATTGGTGAGGTTTGTGATACGTTTTGAAGACGCTGTAGAGAAGGGTTCTCGCGTGGGTGGGAGGCCCTACCAGCTTGAGCACCAAGGGTGTCTGTCGAGGAAGAAGGGGGAAAAAGTGAGGTAGGAGAGCCCAGAATGTAGTTATCACCTAAGTCCCAAGAAATAGAATTCTAGAATCTCTGGGCAGTTGGGAAACAAATGAGTTAAGAATTCTTCTCTAAGGCTCTAAAGAAAGATTCTTGGCCGGAAACAGGCTCACTTGTGCCCTGTAAGAATCAGAGTGGCTTCATGGGGATGCAGGCGGCTCAGTGAGCTGTTGATCTGACTGAGTAAGTACAGCAGACCCCGAGCAGTCTGTGGGACCGGCACCAAAAAGTTGCCTTTTTAATAAGATCTGAATTACTCTGATGAAGCCGTCTGCCCCGAAGAACTAGCGATAGCAACCGTTGGCTGAAGGATATAGAGTATTGTGCCTGGAGCCATCACTGCTGTGAGGTTCTCTTATGTTTGAGGCCAGTAAGATTCTAAGACAGGGATAGAAACCAACTTAACTTGTCAGCTCTGCATCATAAACCTGATTTGTCTTCCTCTCAGCACCTGGAGCAGTGCTGGGGTATAGCCCACACTGTACACCAGGAACTTTTCTGTAAAGGGCTTGATAGTGAATATACAGTTTCTAAAGAAACGACTCAGCTTTGGGAAAAACAGTCATACACAACCAAATGGGCATAGCTATGTCCCAAGAAGACTTAATTCCAGAAGCAGGCCTAGGGTGCTGCCCCTTGCAATTCACTGGTATGTAGTCTCCATCCCGCAGGTGATACGTAATTACCTTATTGCTTAGTTACTTGAAAGCCCCCATAGCGATTTTCCCTCTGGCCTTTCTGAATACTCATCCCTAGTTTTGGACCCACCTTTCAATTGGGGAACCTAGTTCCGAGAGGAGAAACTAACTTTAGATAAAAAGTGTAGAAATGTTAGAAAATTTAGAGATTTCTAGGCTGGTGCAGAAAATGATACTGGATGAAAATATGTAGGAATATCAGCTTCAGTATCATGAGTAGCTATCAGAAATTTTGCTCTATCCCCATCCCAGCAAGGCAGATAACTTCAAGAGAAGTGCTTCTGGAAAACCAGTAGCCAACCAGCATAGAATTCTTGATCCTACTCCCATTTTAAATAATTCAGTAGGGGTCTCTTTATGGCCTCTCTACTCCCACCAGCAGCTCTTTCCTCCTCTTGTGACCCATCGTCATCCATCCTGTCCTGCTCACCAGAAGGCACCAGACTTTTAGAAGGCCCCGTGGAGCAGTGATAACAGACCCCAGGAAAACACTGCATTTGCGGTGTGACAGAGCTTTCTTGAAGCAACACTCCCATATTTGGAAAGTATCAAGAAAAGAAAATGGAAGAAAGATAAGGTGCTAAATTGTCTCCCTTCAGTAAAACCCCAAATATTAAATCTTAAAGTTTTCTGCCCAAACCTATATATATTTCATCACTGGCTGAAATAGGAGTGTTTTTTTCCTTCATATAGAGGGAATGCTTAACTCTTCATATTCTGTGTTTTTCTATTCATAGCGTTAAAATGAAATGAACCCTAGAAATGTATCACCCTCGCTGGTTGCCATCTGGACATCAAGAAAAATGGGTTCATTCCTTTGCTTGCTGATCCCAAGAACATAGCATTTCCATCCAGTGCCCACCCTCGTTCCTTCCCTGTACTGGATACTGTCTGCACTTTGTTTTTCCCTAATGCAGGTTCTGAATGGTTAAAAGTGACAGGAAGCAACTAGGCAGGGCCATCCACGACCCTAGCTGGCAGACTGTGAACTTCTCATGGGCAACCGACTTAGTCTCAGGACTCAGGACGAAGCGAGGTCATTTGACCCGGTCTCCCGATCTTTGACAGGTTCTGCCTCCAACAGGCCTGGGGATGAAGGCTGCTGGCATCTTGGCCCTGATCAGCTGCCTGGTCACTGCTACGGAGTCCAAAATCTACACTCGCTGTAAACTGGCAAAGATATTTTCGAGGGCTGGCCTGGACAATTACCACGGCTTTAGCCTTGGAAACTGTGAGATTTCTCCTTTCTTGTTCTCTTTCTGCCCTTGAGCTCTCCCCTGAGATGTCACAGGCCCCATCCACACTGGCTTCCATTTGTTCCCTGCTTTTCCACACCGTGCCACCAGGGAGCGCTGCTAGCTATTCACATGTCCTCTTCAGCTGCTGCTCCCTGGGGTTCCTCCCCTCAGCCCTGCCCCTCACGTCCTCACCCCTGGAGTCCTGATTGAATGACACAGCAAGGGAAGAAGAAACAATGCCACTCTTGCTGGCATTGTAGGAAGCAGACCTGACTGTCCATCTAGTCCAGGTCCAGCCCCTGATTAGGTGTGCAGCCTCAGGTGTGCACTCCCTGCTCACCATGTGCCCCAAGGGGGCACCACCTGCCTTGACCCTCCCCTAGGGTTTTCCGGAACAGAGCACTGTTGGAACATGTATAAGGGAACTCTCCGCTAAGAGCAGGATAAGAGAAGACAATGTACCGGAGTGGCTGGCATTTCCCCCCTTTAGGGATCTGCATGGCATACTATGAGAGCCGCTACAATACCATGGCTCAGACTGTCCTGGATGATGGCAGCACAGACTATGGCATTTTCCAGATAAACAGTTTCACATGGTGCAGACATGCAAAGTTACAAGAGAAGAACCGCTGTCATGTTGCCTGCTCAGGTACAGCTTTGTTTTCCCAAAAATATCATCCTCAGGGACAAAGGCAGGAAAGCCAATAATAGAATATCCACCCAGTTTCTGCTTTAATGAGAATTTGGAGTTTAGATGTGTAAGTAGGTCTATACCAGGCCAAAAATCATTCAAGAGGTCCCCAGGTGACCTTCAGGAGCCTGTGACCTACTTGTCTGACGATGACTTAATTCTGGGACAGTTTTTATAAACCCCACCATGAAAAAGGGAAGAACAAGTGACCTCCCTACCCTTTCACACCTAGAGGGCATTTAAAATGTTCAATAAGGAGAAAGCTGTTTGCCAACTGCTTTCTGTAAGCAACTTTCCCAGATGATGCAGTTTATGCTCCTCTGTACAGAATAAGACAAAAACCCATTTCACATAGCATTTTTTTCTTGATGATTTGCGTTTTAATTTTGTTCACATAGCATTTTTTTAAACAGTAGAATTAAGCTAGAATTCACCTCCAAGTCTTCTACTATAATCATTTAATATATATATGTGCAAAAAGGGGTTTAGCAGAATCCATCAGACATGAATTCTGGTATTAGGGAAGAGAATGTGTGAGCACACACACAGAGGAGGCTTCAGGGGAAAGATATTAATAAAGTCATGGAAATAGTGTAAATACGACAATATTTGACTTAAGACTTGGAAGGTAGATAAGATTTGGTTATTCAGAGAGAGAGAAGAGTCACTCCAGGTTAGGGGAACAATGAAAGCAAAGAGTTAGGTGCCTGTGGGAAGGTGTGGGGCAAGGACAGAGTCATGAAGACACTTTTCTTTTCTGGAACAAAGGGGTCACGAAGACAAATAACAGGTCATGTGACTGGAAGGCTGATTACTACCTGACCAGGAAGGGCTTTGGGATCCAGGCTAAGAAACATGTACTGATTTCTGCTTGCAATAGGAAATCAGTAAGAGGTCAGTTGATTAAACATCACTTTAGAAAGATTAATCAGTGAGCAGTGTGTGAGATAGATTAAAGAGCCGAAAATTGAAGTTTTTTAAACTTCATTTAATGATACAGATCTATGATCATCAGACAGTATATGATCTATTATGGTAAATGTATACTTAAAAAAATGTGCATTGTACAGTGGGTGAATGGTGGATGTTCTATGCATGACTGTTATATCATTACTTATTTTTTATTCTATCAAATAGTGAGAAAGATGTATTGAAATCTCCAGTGATAATTATAGTTTTATCTATTTCTCCTTTCAATGTCGTCAGTTTTTGAAGCTCTGTGAATAGATGCATACATACTGAGGAGGCCTGTTACGTCTTCCTGGTGAACTGACCCTTTTCATCATGACTATCAGTGTCCCTCCTTAATCCTGGTAATATTTCTTATCCCCAAATCTACTTTAAAAGTAGTATAAGAATATAGCCACTCAGCTTTCTTTGAATGGTGTTTATTCCCATTATTTTACTTTTGGCCTATTTGTAATTTTTTTTTTGCAGTGAACTTCTTACAGTGTTTTTATGTTGCTTTTATAGGCAGTCTAACTATCTCTCCTTTTCAGTAGGAATGTTTTGACCAAGGGTCAGCAAACTTTTTCTTAAAGGGCCATATAGTGACTATTTTAGGCTTTGTGGGCCTTCTACACACAACTCTCTTTTGTAACTTTTGTACTCTTTTGTAGCACAAAGGCAGTTATAGACAGTATGTAAACAAATGGGTATGGTTGTGTTCCACTGAAAGTTTCTTTACAAAACAGAGGGTAGACCTGTGGACCATAGTTTGCCAAACCTTGGTTTAGACCATTTATGTTTAATGTAATTACTGATACAGTTAGTTTAAAATCCATCATCCTGTGCCATGAATTCCAGCTGCCTTGGCTTCTGATCTCTGTCTCCTACACTTAGATTGCCATCTCCCGCATGGGCTCTGCCTTCCTAGTCTGGGAAATGTCTCTGGGCATAAAGTCACAGCAATCACAAGGCTCATCTCATTTGGTTTCTCTCTCTCAAGGGTCCTGCACTGCCTTTTCTTATGACTGAAAATAATGTTCTCATATAATTTATCTAGTTCTTTTGTTTTTTTACAGTGGGAGAGAAATCTGTTACTCCATCATGGCCATGCTTGACTTTACATGCAGTTGACTAATTTAATCTTGTTCAGTTTAGCTCCTATTAAGGACATCTGGGCAAATATATATCTGCAAAACAATCTTCAATTATAGGAAATTCAAATGTTGGACAATTCATGGTTAGAGGTGGAGAAACACTCATATCTGTTTTCATCATAAACAGTATGGGATCTTTAGATTTGCCTTAAAATAGAAAACAGGATGTTGGTTTTATATCCCAATCACCCTGAGCGACTGAACCCCCACATCCTCAGGCCAGAGAAGCTTTAATCAGGGACAGTGCCATTCTGCCTATGTACTGTAGGAGGAGGAACATTTGTCATGGGAACTTGGAAACAAGTTAGAACTAGGGTATGATTACAAGGCACACGGCATTTCACACATGTACAGTACACACACAACTTATGCCCGTCTGTACAGGTAGGCCATCTTCTCATGCCCATATCAAATTGTATTCCTAAAATTTCTACCCACCTTGCCCAAACTGTTTGAACAGCATATTTGTTATAGGTACATATATGTAAATATAAGCATATATAGGAATATAACCACACATGTAATAACATAGTAGCAATCTTTTCCTCCAAAAGCATAGATGTCTTTAAAATAAGAGATGATGATGAAAAAGCAGGTGATTATTGACTTATGTCTAGTCTAGTCTACTTATATTAATCTCCATTTCTCATCAGCCTGCTGTCTGAGTTGGTCTTTCTCACTTCAGAGAGCAGAAAGAAATGTAAAAGGAGGGTACAGCTGTGATATTTTAGTCCAGAGGCAGGAAGATCCTGGGGAGAGACAGAGACTCCTTGAAGCAGAACTAACTTACCTGAAAATAACTAGTTTCTTTTCTGTAGACTGCTGCTGCTTTCTGTTGGATGTGGCAGAATAAAGCATCAACTGAATAAGTCTTTGCTGTTCAACATAATCCTTTCTTTATTCATGTTTGACTGGACAGAACTGTCTATGTAAAGTAAATTGAGCAGAAGCAATTCTTGGCATGGATCCTTATAAATACTTGCTCCTTTATCCCATTTCTGCCCCTCTGCTGCCCCTCTGTGGTGATCTCACTGTGTTTCCACATCTCAGCTGTGCATCAGGTTCATTTGCCAGCCCCCACTCCCTTAATGTATTCTCCTAAGCAAATTCAAAGTCACGTCCACCTAGCACTTTTGAAACATCTCAGTAGTGCAACAAAATGCTATAATGAAAAACACTTCACCCCGTCTCCACGACTTGGGCCTCGGGCACCTATTCCTCCCGGTGGTTATACAGCATCTCCAGCCAAGCAAACTTCCCTACCCCAGATATGAACCTTCCTATTTGCATGCATGCCTGGGGTGTGCTCCAGTCCTGAAACAATAGAAAATCTCTTCATATTCCACTATGTATAAGCAAACTGTGTCCTTCCCATCCCTGGACACCTCACTAAAACCACTTCTAAGAAACAGGCTCCAGGAGCTTTCAAACACAAACCACAGTCACACAACACTTATCAAGAATTTATGCACACAAAATAAAGTGTTTCTAAGAAATTTTAACATATATCAGATACCAAACACTTAAGTTTGGATAATCTCCTAATAAATAAATAATTACTTGAAAAATTAATAAAGTACTTATGATTTTATTGACAAGTTCATTAGCATATAGTGTTCCATAAGCAAGAATCTTAGATTAAGTGGCTGTGTTGGAAGGAAGTAGATGAGGATAACAGAATTTGATATTATAATGATCCATCAAAATGCAGTATTTTAGGCTAATGTTATTCTTTTTGCTGATTTCTTATGATAATAAAAATAATGCATTTCTATTATAAAATATTTAGAAACATGCAGTGAAGGTTTAAAAGCATTGGTGAACCCACAATTAAGAGCTAGACCTTCCTAAGATTCTGGTGAATTTGCTACTATCTTTTTCTCTCTCTCTCTTTCTCTAAACCAATGCTGTTCAATAGAACTTTCTGCGATGACAGAAGTGTTCTTTATCTGGGCTACCCAATATAGAACCACTAGCCACAATAAAGGTGTTATAAAGCATCTGAAATGTAGCAAGAACAAGGAATTGAAGCTACAATTATATTAATTAATTTAGATTTAAAGAATCACATGTAGCTAATGGCTACCATGTTGGACAGTTGTAGCTCTAGATGGATATTTTCACAATATTGGGAGCTTTATACAAGGACATGTTCCAATATTACTGAATCATGTGAAAACATGATTTAAATGGCTTGTTCTTTCATTATATTGAGATTGTATTATTATTATTAATGTGAACATCCCTAATTATGATACAATTTGATTTTTCCCACTTGGAAATAAATTTCCTCTTATAAACAAGGCTACAGTAAACCCCTTGGTATACAAATCTTTGCCTAGATTCATGATTAGTTCCTTAGGATAGGTCCAGAAAGGATAAGAATCACTTCAAGGCTCTTGACAAATGCTGCTAATGGCTATCCTGAAAGCTGAACCCATTACATTCCCTATATCAAGTACTCGAGCGTGAATATCTCACTGCATCCTTGTCAACACTGAGCATTACCCAATTCTTTAAAAATCTATGCTTGAAAAAAATCTAAAAACTTTGCTTAATTGATAAATTAAAATTATTTCAAATAGTTTGAGTTTTAATGTCTTTGACTGGTTATTGTGGTGGGCTTGGAGATGGACCAACCTAATTCCCCTTGGAAGGAAGATGCTTGTCCCCAGTTGACTTTGTGTGATTTACACACAGCTTACTTGGCACCTTCTTCAGGGTCTGCCTTAGCTGCAGAGGACCATGTAATGGAAGGTGTGCCTCCAGGGCAGCCTGCATCCCATGGCTGGTGAGGCAGAGGTTTGAAGACCTAGCCATCTGGAAATAACATGGGCAACTCTGGTGGGTAGCATGTACCCCCAAGCTCCTGGTTAGGTTGGCTGAGGCTTTGATGAGCCCACATCACAGACAGACAGCTCCATCTGCCCAGTTTTGCTTTTGCCCCATTTATTCCACAGGTGTGGAACCTTAATAAATACTTGGCACCCCAAACCCATCTCACCATCTGCTTCTGAAGAACCTGGTATGCAACAGGAGTGATTTTGGACTTTTACGTTTATTTACATTTTCCTATCATGTTTGTATTGAGAAATATTTTGAGGCCACTTCTAGGCAAGCCACAAAGAGCGCTAATTTCAATTACAGTAGATCCTTGAATAGTATGGGTTGGAACTGTGCAGGTCCACTAATATGCAGACTTTTTCAGTAAATGTATTAGAAAATTTACTGATTGGAGATTTGGGACAATTTGAAAAAGCATTTTTTTTCTCTAGTAAGAATATGTTTCTCTTCTAAGAATATGGTATCTAATACATAGAACATACAAAACGTGTTAATCAACTGTTCATGTTGCTGGTAAGGCTTCTGGTCAACAATAGGCTAATTTAAATAGTTAAGTTTTGGGGGAGTCTAAAGTTATACACAGTTTCTGAATGCCTGGGTATTGGTGCCCCACAACCCTGTGTTGTTCAAGGATCAGCTGTAGTTTATTTTCAGTCGAAAGATTTGTGACATCTGAAAGCCACTGAAAAAGTAATAATGAGCTTGACGTAAAATCTTAAATTTTTTGCATATGAAAAACACCTTGGATAAAATTCTTTTTAAATGCACACAGTAAATGAAAAGTTACAATGACAGACCTTTAATATTTTCCTATAAAGATATCTCCTATGTCAAATTAACCAGAGTAGAGAAAAACAATGCATTGTCCTATCTTAGTTGTGCATTTCTTTAGGACATGAGAATCATTCTCCTACTGTGTCTTCTCCACACAGATATCCAAAAGCCCTTTAAGACTGGTCTCTTCCTCCGAAACTTCAAGGAGTCCAAGATGGTGGGCCTAGGAACAAACAAACAAATTCTTTTTTATTTGTAAGGAAGCTCAACAAAAATTAGAATATGACTTATAGTTCTTCCAACCCTCCTGTTCCAAAAATAGTGAGAAAAGTGCAGAAAATCTGATTTGCCCACCCTTCAGCTAACAGGCTCAGCTAATTCTGAGACTTCTTTCTCTTACAGCCTTGCTTACTGACGACCTCACAGATGCAATTATCTGTGCCAAGAAAATCGTTAAGGAGACCGAGGGGATGGACTATTGGTAAGAGTCTTTCTTGGGAGACAGGCTGACATGGGCGAAACCGAGTCTGTGCATTCCTCTCAGCTGCGGCGGACGTTGAGCAGGGCGGCCACCGGTTCTAGCGTGACCCTGACCGCAGCCCCCTTCCCCCCGGGGGTGTGTGGGTGAGTGGGGAACACAGCAGAAGGGATGCATACGGGGGAGAAGAGATGGCATCAAATCACGATCATTCGCAACTACTTTTCATAGTAAGGTGTTCCAGAAAGAAAGAAAGGAGCTTTCTAAAGTGAACTGCAAATGAGGTCAACATGCTAGAGAGAAAGAGCTCGGGCTCACCCTCCATTTGGATGAGATTTGGGAGGGCTGCGGCAGCATTTTGTGCGGAGACAGGCAATCCGCGGTGAGAGAAGGATGGCCATGTCGGTCACCCCTAAGGGAGCAGAACCCTTGTGCAGAAGTGTGCACCGGGCACCATTTCGGGTCACTGTCGTTTTGGCCGCTGGGTTTCCCGTGAACGATGCCAGAACGATGCCAGAAACACCAAGTTTCAGAGGTGCGGCTGTTTAACTAAACTACCCATTCTTACAAAGCCATTGGCTTGTTGCTGAGGCTCTGTAAGGACCAGGAGAAAACCAGGAAGAGAGAAGTCTTCAGGCAAAAGGATGGAGCCCTCAGATTTCAGAAACGAGTGAAACTCTCCTCAGCACCTCTGGTGATTTGGGTTAATTATCCGTGGTCTGTGAGCCTCAGAATATTGGGAACGTCATGCTTCTTTCTGTTGTTGCTGTTTCCCTCTTCCCCTTAGGCAAGGCTGGAAGAAACACTGTGAGGGCAGAGATCTGTCTGAGTGGAAAAAAGGATGTGACATTTCATAAGCTGAAAATGGCCCAAGGACGCTTTGCAACAACAACTCCCTGAATTTGTGTATTGGATGTCAGTGTTTGTGTCATCTTGTCCTCCTTCCTCCCAGTATTCCTTCTCAAAGTTGGAGAAAATTCCTTAAAAAATGTAGGCTAGATTTTTAAGGAAATAAATATTTCCATTTAGGTGTCTTCACTTCACCCTGACTTGGTTTCAGTGAAGTCATAAAAGCATAATTTTAAGACTTGAAAAGTCACCTACAAAATGTTCTAGTCCTGGAAAGAACAAACTCTCCTTTACTGTAAGGAGGCCTGGCTCCTGACTGGCTTCTTACTTAAAAACAAGACTCCCTAGCCAAGGAGAGCCCTACATAAATGGTGGTAGTTTGCCAATCTCTGTCTGAGAACATGAGCTCATTCTTTTCCTGGTCAGTGGACAGATGCACAGTCCTTCCTCAGCTCAACACTGCTAGGGGGAGTGTCCCCACTTCTCCCTGGCAGCCCTGATGGACACTCTCATGGGAACAAGTAAGTGACGGTGCATTCTTATTCCCAGTGTTAAGAGGGCTCTCCGTGTTGTGCCAACACTTATTTAAATTAAATCTGTCAAATTCAAAAAGTACACTTACATCCTCATGACAAAACCCTTTCCAGACTTCAACCTGCTGATTTTATTAGTTTGGACAGGAAATTGGTGACTATCTAAAGGACATTTCATGACAAGTAACAGGGGACTGAGGAGATCAGATTCCAAAGAAGTATTCCCCCCGACGCCACAGCCGTGAAGGGGTGGCTCCTCTGCAGGCCCCCATCACAGGGGAGCTCCGGTCTGTTCTCCTGCTCTCTGCCATGCTGGAAGGAGGTGTTGGGCCCACCTCGTTGGAATTTTACATGTGAAAAGCTCTAGTCGAAGGTAATTGGACATCCAGAATGCACTGAATTAAGGTTAGTTAGAAAAATGGTCATGCCTGCAAATAAGTTCCCCACTTAGAAGGAAGTCCTTGCTGCTTAGAGGGATAGGTTCTGGGATGCCCCCTAAACAGCCCATAAACACTCTCTGGCTGCACACTGCCCGGGATTTCAGGCCGGCACATTTCAAACTTTCTGACTTCACTTACTGGCATAGGCTTTAAAAAGTCAGAACTGCTACTTGCCAGAAGAATATAAACATTTCACATATATTTAAACAAACATAACCCTGTGACAATTTACCAGGCATTACAAAGCATGGGAGAAAAGCTTTTGAAATGTGTGTAAGAACTGAAAAACAGTTCCATAAGATAGCTGAAGAAAATCTGAAAAATGTTGAATCCATTAAGCTGCTCTAAATCAATAATCTGTGCTTATAGAAGCCCATCAGTGTGTATTTTTCACTATTGTAGTCCTGTCATCCATCTGCCTTGCAGTCCCCATTCTTAGACAAAACTCCTGTTTCATTAAACCAGTGGTACCATGTTAATGACCTGGGTTAGCATGGGGCCTGGCACCAGCGGTTCAAAGACTAGGGGGAATATTTTTTTAAAACACAAAAACCCAACTCCAAAAAAGAGTGCTTTGAAATTCAAGGTGAAGGAAAGTTGGCTGGCCCTACAATCTGATTGCTCTATCTTTTTGCAAAACATGAAATTTCTAAGCACACAATCTTACTATTTCTTTCCCTAAATGTTTTATTTACTTAGTATTTCCATCAGCATTAATTGAAGGTAAAAAATACATTGTCCTGGGTAATTTCCATAATTAATCAGTTTCACATCCAGTATTTCAAATGCCCCACACAAGCACCCTGGCACATGATGTAATGTAATCTTCATTTTACACAGAAGGCACTGAGATGCAGAAAGGGTAACTTTCTCTCCAAGGCTTACAGTGGGGGATCCAGGCACACAGTACCACCCGATAGGAATCTTCAGAACTCAGGGAAAGAACAGTGTCCTTCAGGGATAGGGAAAGCCCAAGTTCCTCCTCATTGTTCACCAAAATACAGTGCAAACTCTAGCTGGCCCCTGAAAGATCTAGGAGAAAAGAGTACAAAATGTTCCCACCCAAAATTTAATTTAAAAAGACTTCATTAGGAGACCTGGGAAGATTTCTTCTCTCCTCCCAAAATGGATAACAATATGCTCTAGATTTCTAAAACTTCAAACAATAAGCATTATTGACTTTTTCAATAAGAAAAATTTACGTTTTTTAATTAAAAAATTTAAACCATGAAACATTATTTCTTCCAACATAGATCAAACAGCCACTAGAGGTCCACTCCCCTTGAATCATTTTGCCAGAGTTTCCAGGCCCTGCATTTCCTCCACAGCACCTCTGGACTGTAGAGTACTCATGGCTGAGGCAGCACTACAGACATTACCATCATCCATGTTGCCGGTCCTGGGGGCATCAAGCCGCTTATGGTTGTTTACATGCAGTGATGTCAGGGGATGGAAATTCACACAATCAACTTGCAAAGTTGCCCCTGCCTGAGACAGTGTAGGATCCAGGAACAACTGTGACTGCAGCAGAAGCATTTGGGCCACAGTGGGACTCCCTTATGGATGTCCAGGCAGCTATTACAATTTGGAGAGGTGATTTTTCCCTCATTCTCCTTCCCTCCCATTTCCAGTTAGTTCCACAGTGCAGTTGAATGGGAAAGAGAGACACTTGGAAACTGTTCTAAGTCACACATAACAGCAAGCCCATCTGTTTAATCTGATCCTTTCACAAGACTAGAAAGAAAGGGAAGCAGTAGATCCGATGCTAACAGTCTCAGAAAGGAGGGGAAGGACAGAGAGTGTGTTTTCATACATGAGGCTGCAACTTGAACAGTTTCTACCACGGGGCCTCCTTATTGATGCACAACCCAAATGAAACCATGCATATTGAGCAATGGCGTTTCTTTCCTTTGTTTAAGTCATTTATCAGTTAGGCTCTGGTTACAACAAGAACGCACAGTCATGGTGAAACACAAGATATCTTTCAAAACTATAAAAATATTCTCAACACTCAACAATAATGGCTACTAATACTTCTGTTTGTTCTTCGAGCTTTTAGTTTTTTTTTTACTTTTTATAAAGTGAGAATTACAGGGTTTTCACTTTGTAACCTGTTCTTTTCACTTAATATATGACAAAATGTCCCCCAACTAATGTTTTCTAAAAGACAATACATAAGACAGAGTAATAGGTACTCTGCTGTCTCATAATTCATTCCCTCTCTTCTCTGTTGTTTATTTGGCTAACCAGTAGCATTTTCAGGCCTCGGGTTTTGGTGATTTTTGCAAAGGGCCCTTTCTTTTCTCATGGCTCATTTTTCTGCAAGCATCCCCCAAAGTCCTCAATACATGATTTTTTAGGGTCCATCTTTAATCCGTGAGCTCTTTGACAGCTTTGGGAATGACTTGGAGACAAGAAATATGATATTGGGTCACATTTTCCAAACAATTAGGATCCATTATCTGCCTGTTGGTCCAACATTGAGAGAAAATATTTCACATCTATACTGCCAAGAAAAATCTAAAACACAAGCTTACCATGCTGTCTCAGCTCTTGTAAAATGGAAATAATATATTTGCCATATACAGTTGTGGTAAGGATTAGCAACAATATCAGAAGCACATGGTACAAACCAGGCTTTTGATAAAAACTGGTTATTATTATTCTATTTCTACATTTTTCTTTCTCCAGTATGTTTAACAGGTGATTTCTGTAAGGTATGACAGACACTTCAATAGGGCGAATTACAGTTTTTGTGAAATAATATTTCCAAGTGGGTAAGGGGAAGATCTATCCTGAAAGAAACCACCAATGAAACCTTGGCTGAGTTTGTTTTACTAGGTCCCTGCTGCTGAGATATCCAAGCAAAAGGTAAAAAGTTAAATGGTCTCTGGATTTCCCGGCCTGCTCGCTACCACGCCCCCACTGGTAACATAATTCTTGGTGAGGAAGAAAAAATCTATAGTTGCCTTGAAAAGCATTCATGCAAAATAAAGCTCAGATTCATAAGTAATCGGACTTCTGCATCACTTTTCAAAACAGTATCCTGTTACCAGCTAAAGCAAACAGAGCAGTTTCAACCAGAAGAACTGACAGGCGTGCAGAGGGCAGATTGGAAAAGATTAAATATTTGTGCAAAAATACCCCACACCCTCCCTTCACAAAGAGCACCCTTAGTCTGCAATAAAAGGAAATAGCAGTCAGGGGAAGGGGCAGCAGGAACTGAGAAGAGGGCCTTATCTTGCCAAAGAAGGGGCTGATTTTGGAGGAGGACGGGGAGAAGGCGATAGGGGGAGAGATGAGGAGGTTGCCCACCACTGAGGCTGCACTTTTGACCCATGCAGGGGAGTCAGACCACATGGGCACTGAGAAGACAGAAACAGGACGGTGACAGCTTTGAAGCTGCCAGGCTGTGATGGCAGAGAGGCCAGAGAAAGGCACCCTCGGAGAAACCCCATCTCTCAGCAGTGCTAAACGTTATTTTGCAGGGGCAGGAGGAGGGGAAGGCTGCTGCGGGGGAGGCTAGCAATGCGCACAGACCCCATCGGCAGTCCAAAGGCCAGCCGGTGGGGGCGAAGGACAAGACTAGGAAAGGGAAACTCGAGAAAATTGTTTTAAAAATTGCAGTTTTCGACTCTACTGACAGTCTATCAAAGCCGGCTTCTGCCTCGGAGACATTTCAGTCGCTGCCAGGAACTTTGGATTAAAACAAAAAAGAAAGAAAAAAGAAAAAGTCTCATACAATAGAGCATTCTGTGCAGGCAGCAGTGAGATTGCTGATAAAATGAGAATCTTTCAGGAGTTAGGATTTTTCTGTGGACCACCGAAAAAAAACAGCCCCAGCAGACCCTTTGAACATAGCTCAAGGGATCCCCGGTTGAGGAGGCGTTGAGCCCAGGGCATTCTGGGGGCTGGTTTAGGGTCAGCGCTGCTGCACAAAACTGGATGCACAAAAGCACCTTTGGGAGGCTTTTTTAAAATGCTGATACCCAGGACCGGCTCAATGTGTTAAATCAGGCTGGCTGAAGGTGGGGCCCGTGGAGTGAGCTTTTTTTTTTTCTTTAACTCCCCAGCGAATGCTCACGTGCAGCCAGGGCTGTGAACCCTAAAGCAAGAGACT